ACAAGCACTCTCTCCTCGTTTCTATGATACAATCACCTACCACTAACTACAACTGGAAAAAAGGAATAATCAAGCAAGAAGGTATAATTGAAGCTGTGGTCTGAGCTGCACATGTAAGCTTTGCAGTAGTCAGATCTAAGCCGTGCCGAGGCTGCTGCTGGTGGTGATGGGCAGTACATGCACCCCAGGCCGTTCATAGACTCCTGGGGAAGAAAGGGGCTTTAATAGGCCATTATTTGTTCATTCCAGGGAGCACTTGTTGCCCTTTGCTTAAAATGCCCCAAAGATGCCACAGCTGACTTTAACAATATTTTCTGTGCTTTGTCAAGCCATGCCTTTTTTCCTCATTAGATAAAGGATATAATGGACAAGGATTTTGATAAACTTCACGAATTCGTGGAAATTATGAAGGTAAGCATTTACTGAGTGCCTTCCATGTGCCAGCACCGTATCAGAAACTGTGGAAGAGAGGCCAGACCCTGCCCTCCAGGTGATTATAATCTGGTTACAGACCCCAACTCCATTGCAAGGCAGAAGTGCAAGCTAAATAATTGGCTGTCAGTTAATTAGGGGGTTAGAGAGGTGCGTGATGAATGTGGGCTGGGGTAACCAGAGAAGTTCATGTAGAGAAAGTGAGTTTTAGGTTGAGACTTAGAGACTGCATTGGAAGCTTAGTGCAAATCTAATCAAAAGCCCAGTAAGATTCTTTTTTAACTCAAAAAATCACTAGGAGGATAATCTAGATTCTAGAACCATGGCTCACAAACCCCGGTGTGTTACAGAATCACTTGGAACACTAATTAAAAATACAGAGCCCAGACTCATGTTCAGATGGGGCTTGGGCCTTTGTATTTTGGCCAAGTTTCCAAAGTGAGAGTATGAGAACCACTGACGTAGGAGCATAAATAGCAAAAGCAAATATCTACAAATTTTTCAAGAGTTATAAGGGAGCACTAGACTTACCAGATATTAAAATGCATGATAAAGCCACAATTATCAAATTAGGGTGGATAAGTGGATGAATGAAACAGAATAGATAACCTTTTAACAGCCTCAATGCCAGGGATGTACTGAGAATCACTTGTGAGGAGTTTTAAAAATCCATATACTCAAGCCCTAGCCCAAAGGAAAAGAATAAAAATCTCCAGGGTGGGATAGAATTGCTTTAAATTCTATGATTCCGGTATTTACCCCTGGATGAAAACCAGGTCCTAAACACTTCAGCAGCAGTTATTAACCTTGGCTGCACATTAGGATCACCTGGGGAGCTTTTCCATCTTCTCCCTGCTACCTCCCATACCCAGGCTGCACCCATAACAATTAAACCAGAACCTCTTGGGATGAGGTTCAGGTGCCAGTAGTTTAAAAAAGTTTCCCAAGTGATTCCAATGTACACTTGAGGTTAAACTACAGGCTCTAAAAAATTTAAAATATAATAAAGGTTATTTTTTTTTAATGTCAATGAGAAGGAAAGGATTACGTAATAATATCAAAAATATTAAGAACCATACTATACGAGTATGAGGGAAAACTTAACGCTGTAAACTTAGGTAAATATTTGACCAGATGTTCTAAATATAAATACAATGGAAGAAATCACAAAGCAAATATTGATATATATTAACTATATAAAAATTTTAAAGAATTATGTCAGAAAAGCACCAAATACAGAATTAAAAAGCAAACAGTTTGGGGAAAACAATTTTCCACAAATATGGTAAGCATAGATGAAAGGTTTTTATTCATAACACATAAAGCTCACACAAATCAACAAGAACCAAATAAGTTAATGAGCAAGGTCATATACTCTCTTCATCCACAGAAGAGAGTATAACCAGAAAGCAATAGATGGATTGGAAATGTTTCACCTCATGAACAGTCACATACAGATGCAAATACAAAATAGATCACTGTTGTATTCAAATAAGCACATTTTTAATTTAGGACAATTATAGAACAAGATAGCAATGCTTTTATACTGCTGATCAGAGTGCAAATTTGTACAAAACTGGAACATTATTAGACAATAGGTATCAAATAATATCAAAACTTCTTGATTTATCAATTTTACTTCTCAGAGTTTAACCTACAAGAATAATCAGAAATGTGCCAGCATGGTTATCTATAAAAAGATGTTCATCACAGGGTTATTTAAAATAACAAAAATTTAGAAACTACAATTTTCAACAGTAGGGGAATCACCAAGTAAATTATGATAAATCTATATAATGAGAATTAGGAACACTAAAGACAATGCTTAGAAAGAATGCCTGTAATGAGGATTAAAAAAGCAAGATACAAGTCATATGTACAGGCTGATCTCAACTCAGTGGGAAAGAAAAGGTAAGAAAATATGTAT